ACGAGCTTTTAAAAAGTTTGCAGGGTGGATTCTTGGATATAAACCGCCAACAAGAAAAACTTTGTCAGGTTCATTACTTCAGGAACGTTATATCAAAACTGAGCAAATGATTAGATCACAAGTTGTTAAAGAAGTAGAAAATATCTGTATTACTACTGACTTTTGGACATCTGGAGTAACTGAGAGTTACATCGCATTAACAGGACAATATTTAACCGAAAATTTAGAGTTTAAAACGGTTTTATTAGGCTGCTGCCATTTTTCTGGAAACCATAATTCAGAAAACATCGCTTTTAAAATTAGTGAAATTATTATTCAGTGGGGTCTAAAACAAAAAGTAAATTTTGCAGTAACTGATAATGCCTCAAATATGGTCATAGCTATTAAATATGTTTTGGAATGAAAACATTTAAATTGTTTTGCTCATACGTTAAATTTATTGATGGAGGACGTACTTAAATGCTGTCGTGTACAAATAGATAAAATAAAAAGTCTTTTTTTCGACAATTCGGCAAAAAACACATTTCAAAAAAGTACCTTATCTTCAGAAAGGCTTTTAAAATATCAATTACAACATAACAAAGATCCCAAACGGCCAATCCAAGACGTGGAAACTAGGTAGAACTTCACCTATTACATGTTAGAAAGAATGACCGAGTTAGAAGAGGCAATCCGTTCCACATTGGTATCAGTTAATACAGACTTAGACTTAGACCAAATCTAAATAATGAAGACTGGATTATTTTTTCGTAATTGTCCCAAATTTTACGGCCTTTTAAAGAAATAACAAGTACAATGAGTGGCCAAAAATACTTGAAGGATAGTTCAGTGATTGTTCTGGTACGCTGCCTGCAAAAATCTTGCAATAAAATTTTAGCAAACAGTAACCTTACATCCATAGTATCCGACGTAGTACGGTTTTTATTACTAATTACGGATAATTACTAATCTCGGGTTTAGCAAAAAGATTTAGAGGGATAGAATACAGTGGCACATTGTCATTATGTACGTTTATGGATTCACGATTTAAAGTGCAGGGATTTTCTGATAAAAATGACGCTAAAAAAACAAAAGAAAGAGTTAAGAAGCTGGTTACTTCTATAATTAAAGAACAAGAAGATTGTACTATTGAAAATCAACCAGTATAAGAAAAAGAAACCGATAAAGATGACTTAAGTCCATGGTGTATTTTTGATCAATTAATTGGACATGACTCATCTAAACGTACACCTGTAGCGAAAGTCCATTACAATGGTGGAAAAACCATCGCCATGTATATCCTAACTTAACCACTATATTCATAAAGTATTGTAAATGTGAACACATGTTCAAAATCTGGTTTAATTTTAAATAAAAGAAGAACACGGTTAATAAGAAGTAAAGTAAAAAACTTATGTTTTTAAATGTCAATTTAGCGATTCGTGATTTAATAATAACGTGTAATGTAAACGTAGGTACGATTTACTATTTGTATTGTTTAGTTTAGTTTTCAAGTTATAATAAAATCTTTTATTAGTTTCCTTCACTTCAATAAATATACACATAAACGATAATAGCCATTATGTTTGTTTATGTAGGTAGTTTCTTACTTGAAACTACTATTAAAAAATCATAGTTACTTGTTTACGAAAATCGGTTTTGCGACGTCAATGACCCACCTCTATTCGTAAATACCTGTGTACGCTTTTGATTCGGTGATTTGACCACGCGACACGCCACGTTGGCAAATAGTTTTGTACGAAGCTTTTTTATTTATATGCAGTTTAATATTTTTATTGGAAATAAGGCATAATGTCAGTTTAAAATAAGCTTATTTTGATGTTTTAGATTTTTAATTCGGAAATCGTTTTTAAAATACCAAACATTAATAAATTTTATTTTATATAAAACGATTTCCGAAGTATAAATCAAAATGTTATATTACACTTATTGTAAAGTAAAATTGTGGCATATTCCCAATAAAAAACAATAAGCTGCCATTTAAATCCATTTCGCCCAAATTTCATTATCTTGGAGCATTGTTCAAATGCGAAAAAGACAACAGGTCAAATAAAACCAATAAGTTTGGCAACGTTGAACTTCCCCTTCTTATTATATCCACTCCATATCCACTCATTTATGTTCGGTGATATAAAAGCGGCACACCTAATATATCTCTCTCTTTTTAAACAGTTGTTTCTCACTCCATCTCATGTAAGGTCCATACCGACCATAAACTTTTACCTATACTTGTATCATATATATACTATATATATATATATATATCTATATATATATATATATATATAGTATCTAGATAGTAAGTACCTCGACATACGAGTGTAATTAACAGTCACCAAAGTACAGTAACGAAGTAACCGTCCCAAAAAATCCTGTTAGTTTGTTTCTTTGTTAAATGTTTTTTTTTAAATAAGAAAAATGTATTTAAAGAAGAGAAATATTTATTTATAAGTAACAAAAAATACATACATATTCTGTAAAAAGAAGAAATGAAGTACTTACAGAAGCGCTTGATTTTCGCCAATGATCTTCGCTTTTTTCGTCACACTTTGCTCATTTTCATCTGCAGATCGTTTAAAAAAACTGTTCAAGGAGGTTTGTTCTTTCCTCCCTTTCAGAATATTGCGGAAATGTGTTAGGCAAGTTTCGTTTAGCAACACCGATGCACGACCAGTTGTATTTTTTTCGGGGTGTCTTTTATCCACGAACTCTCCTATCCACACAACTTTCTCCCACATTTGCTGATTCACGGGCTGCAAGATAGGAGTGGTGTTGGCTGGTACGTAAAGATTCTTTATAAACCTAAACTCTTGGAGTAAATCATCTTCAAGATTTGGTGGGTGAGAAGGGGCATTATCGAGGACAAGAAGGATTTTCATGGGTAAGTTGTTTTGCTGTAGATATGTTTTAACAGAAGAGGCAAACACCAGGTTTATCTACTTCACAAAGAATTTTCTTAATATTGTTCTGAAGCTATTTTCTTGTGGCATTGTAAATTAATTACTATTTAACTGGGAATAAGCCACAATTAAAGATAAAAATACGTTTATTGACGTTTCAATTTCCACTTCGGAAATCGTTCTCAAAATACAAACAGTAAATTAAACAAATTTTGTTTTTTGTTACATAGTGAAAAATTCTTCTAATAATTTAATTTTATCTGACTCATTTATATTGACAATTCAGACATACATTATGCATTTTAAAGTAGACGACTTTAAAATGATATTGCCAATATTGTTGAGTTGCGCTCCTGGGACGACTTTACTTATAAGATAGTTCATTCGATTACATGAAATCAACTTTAACTTGAGAATATCCGTCAGAAAAAATCATAGCATGTAATTCGTCTTTAAAAAGACAAACACATGACATGATGACAGTAAAATTCTCCTGTTAGTGATTCCATAGTAAATTATGAGGGAAAAACCAGGAAAAAAACCTCATAATACTATCCCGACATTGTAAGTATTTGTTCGTGAATTTAGTTTACCTTCAACAAACATCAAAATTCTGATTTTATATGTTACGTTATTTAAAAAACATAAATGATGTATCCTCTATATGTTACTGACTTACTAATACTGGTATTTTCTTATTAATAACTTCCTCTTTCAATATTGGTAACCAGATCCTACTACATTCTGCCGAGGAATTTGCGACACAATTGGCCTCATTTAGCATAATTAGAGCCGCTTCTTTGATTTTTCTTTTTTTACCATCCGTTTCTTTTAGGACTACATTTGAATTATTCCATTGAACCCTATGTTCATTATCCCATGCGTGTTTACATATTTGAGATCTATCAAATTCTCTATTTTTAATATAAGATTGATGTTCACTTATTCTAACATTTATGGCCTTAATGAATAGAGAATTTGATAGATCTCAAATATGTAAACACGCATGGGATAATGAACATAGGGTTCAATGGAATAATTCAAATGTAGTCCTAAAAGAAACGGATGGTAAAAAAAGAAAAATCAAAGAAGCGGCTCTAATTATGCTAAATGAGGCCAATTGTGTCGCAAATTCCTCGGCAGAATGTAGTAGGATCTGGTTACCAATATTGAAAGAGGAAGTTATTAATAAGAAAATACCAGTATTAGTAAGTCAGTAACATATAGAGGATACATCATTTATGTTTTTTAAATAACGTAACATATAAAATCAGAATTTTGATGTTTGTTGAAGGTAAACTAAATTCACGAACAAATACTTACAATGTCGGGATAGTATTATGAGGTTTTTTTCCTGGTTTTTCCCTCATAATTTACTATGGAATCACTAACAGGAGAATTTTACTGTCATCATGTCATGTGTTTGTCTTTTTAAAGACGAATTACATGCTATGATTTTTTTCTGACGGAATATTCTCAAGTTAAGTATTACTATGTAACAAAAAACAAAATTTGTTTAATTTACTGTTTGTATTTTGAGAACGATTTCCGAAGTGGAAATTGAAACGTCAATAAACGTATTTTTATCTTTAATTGTGGCTTATTCCCAGTTAAATAGTAATTAATCAGCATGGTATGGTGACACATTGGTTTCATATGGCCGAAAGCGAAAATTAAAACTCAGCGGTCGCTTGAGACCAACATATCACCATTTTTTTTATTTTTGTTAAATTGCAGGTTTTTTATTTTTTTTTTTAATTTTTAATAGCGCGAAAAGTTATTTATGGTTATTTTCATTTAAAAATTGAGAAGAAAAAATTTGGCCCCACGGACAGATTTTTTTTGTCCATAGTGGCACTCAATGTGTTAAGTGCATATTTCCCGAGCTCTATATAATATAACCTTTTTCTTATATAAAGTCTAACTAAAATATTTTTTTCATTTAATGATGGATTTATTAATCGCGACCTATAAGAGAGTTACAAACTGATTCAAGGTTGGGAACCACTGTTTATGTCAAACTATGCGTGTGATAAAAACAAAGTCATCATTGAAGATTAGATAATCATATATTTAACAACAACTTGTGGTAAATTTATTAATTTAAATTGATCAATTATATAATACACTTGCAGTTTAGAAAAATTTTTATTCGTCACAAATTTTATTCTAGTCGTGAATTTATCAGTATGTTAGTCTCAATATTAATTTTTATAATATTTGCATTGCTTGTTTATATTTTTTATATATCAATAATTAAATCTCAGAATTACTGGAAAGATAGAGGAGTCGTCCAAGCAAATCCCCCATGGCTACTCGGTGAGGCGTTCAAGGGCGTGCTCAAACAAGAAAGCTTTGCAGAAAGTGCTGGTCGGATATATAATACATTTCCTCATAAAAGGTAAGAAACACTTTATTTTTGCTATGATATCATCATCACAGTCATTAACATCTTAGTAGATGTGTTGTGGTTCATAATTGGGCTTCAGCAGCTCGGACAGTTTGATTGATAATATTTCTCCACTGGTCGCGGTCATCAGTTATATGTATTGCCTCAGTATACTGTTTATTGAGAAGCTTTTTAGTAATGTCCGCCCATCGCTGTGGAGATCTTCCGCGTTGGCGTTGAGTCTGAGGCCTTCCTTGGACCACCAACCGCTCCATTTTGTGATCACTTCGATGGATATGGCCAAAGAACTTTAAAATTCTAGAGTAAACGGTACTGGAGAGACGCTGATCCGGTTTAATTTCATCCAGAACCGAGATATTTGTACGGCGAGCCGTCCATGGAATTCGAAGCAGGCGTCTCCATGTCCACATTTCAAAGGCGTCTATACGTCGTCGATCTGATTCTTTGACTGTCCATGTCTCGCATGCATAGTAAAATATGGAAAAGACCAGAGTTGAAACGAGTCTCTTTTTGTTTGTCATAGTAATGTGACGATCACGCCAGACCCCGTTTAGTTCACTCATTGCTGCTCTTGCTAGTTGAATGCGTCTTCTAATTTCGGATTCACAACTGCCTGTGTTGTTAACTAGAGCTCCAAGATATATCATAGATGAGACTACCTCGCATCCCGCAATAGTTTGGGTTTCAGGAAACTGTTGTTGGCGATCAATAACCATGATTTTGGTTTTGTTGTAGTTAACCATGAGTCCAAATTTAGCACTTTCTACCTCGAGTTTTTTTAATAATTTAATAATTTCTTCTGGAGTAGGGGCTAGAATGTAAACGCAAGTTAGATATCTTGCTATGATATAGAATACGTAAAAATATTAATATGTAAACTTTTGGCAGTTTTTATTTCTCTAGGTTCAACTCTTTCTAGAAAGAGAGAGTTGAACCCTCTTCTTCTTGATCTTTATAAGCAATTCTCGTTCAGTGGCGGATTAATACCTCATGGAAGATTGTCACTCCATCATTTGCACGGTCGTCAGATACTTCTTCTGCCGATTGGTGACTTATCTCTTGCTATTTTAACAACGCAGGTCTGCTTCGTTCTGCTTATGTGGATATTCCATTCAGTGGCCGCTCGTGGCTTGAGAGACAAGGTCGGCAAGGTATTTTTTGTCTCCACAGATAGGTATACCGTCCAATAAAGACTTCAATCATCATAGGAGATTTTTTGTTTTCTTGTTTTTTTGTTTTTTTTTTTGTTTTTTCCTTTAAATTTAGAACCTAAACATGTTTATAAATTAACTCTAGTCTACGTTGTTTGGAAGTAGCAAAATGGGTAATAACGTCATCGTAAAATTTATTAGAGTTTTGAAGAGATTTTAAAAGTTTTTTTTTCTATTGACATTTGAGACAAGCTTGACATTCTCTCTTGTTTCATGGTATTTCGACAATAATTTTTGATTCTTTTGAGGCAAGAGAAATCTCGTTCATTTGAGGCAGACGTTGGTGGTAATGAGAGAATTAATGACAATAATGTTGGATATAGATAAATAAATTTGAATATTTTCTAGCAGTGTCATCTATTGGCTACTTTACTAGTTGAATAATGTATCACTTTCCTTTTTTAGGGTAGTAGCAAAATTACAGTCATAGAGTAAACACGTGTTTCATTTTGTTCATCAAATCTCCATTTTTGTTCCAGAACTTTATAATTTCTCAATAAATAATTTATTAATTTCGGTAACAGTTTGTTGTAATGAATTGCAATATATAAAATTATACATATCTTGTAACTTATCCCATCTTCCGAAAATATTTGGATCAGCATATAAAACTTTTAATTCATTTTCTAATTTTATTTTATTAAAGAATGATGGATAATTTTTAATCAACCTGTCTAATAAATATCTTGGAAATTCTTTGGCGTAACTTTTAAATTTTGAATCGTCAAAGAGGTCAAAAATTTGCAAATCTTCAAAATTCGAAAAACGAGTATCTATTTGCATAATAATAGTATCCAAAATTTCAAAATATAGGTACTCGTTTTTCGAGATCTGTTTCTTTGTCATGCCTTTATCTTTTTTTGGGGGGTTCGGAAATATCAAGCGAGTCCAAAACGTCACTGCGTATATACTGGAAATTACTATCATTACGAAAATCTGACTGAGATTTTGCACCAGTCTTGTTATTCTATTTTTGGAATGAATAATGTCAGTTAACTGATTTTGAACAACATTGAATATCAAATCGGTTTGGGTAAACACTTTCTTAAAAATATTTAAAAGTATGTTAAAAGAGTAATCATTTAATAAAGTTTTCAAACCGATTGCTTTATGGATCGAGATATCATCACTTTCAAAATCGTCACATTCAATAATAAAATCAAAAACTTTCAAAAGCTGTTCACGAAAATCTGCTACAGTGAAAACTAACCGAGATTTAAAATTCCATCGCGTCTGACAAACTGTTGGCATTTTTTTCGAAACAAACCGTTCTAAAACATTAGTCCGTTTAGGCAAGCTTGAGAAAAATGAAGCAAATCCGCTTAAACTGGCAAAAAAAAGACGACATTCTTTAATTTTTTTACATGTATCTTGCAAAACTAAATTCATTCTATGCGCATGACAATGAGTAAATAAAGCTTGCGGTGCAATAGTTTTAACTTTTGCCTGGAGACCATTTAATTCACCAGACATCACGGCAGCGCCGTTATAAGTTTGCCCTACCAATTTATTTTTGATATCAAAAAATTTTAATTTGTCCTTTAAAACACCAAAAATATGTTCTGCCTTATGGCTTTTACTCACGTCTGTAAAACCTAAAAACCTCTCATAGATATTACCACGTAACGCGTATCGAACAACAATTGACAATTGTCAATGACATGATATGTCGGTAGTTTCATCTACTTCTAGTGAAAAGCAAATGGTTTCCTGAATCTCAGATTCAATAATGTTACTCAAAATGTAACTAATTGATTCTTTTAATTCATTCTGGATTGTTTTAGATACACCGCTAAATGTCTTCGAATCAGAAAGTAAATTAGAAAATTCCAAATCGTATTTCTTAAACATTTTTATTAGTTCTCTATAATTACCTTGATTTAACGAATGCTCCGATTCATCGTGTCCCCTAAAAGATAATTCCTGACAACTTAAAAAAATTACAATATCAATTAAACGACGTAAAACTGCGTGATTATTTTTTACAATTTCGTTATGTTTAATAGCATTTTCACGTTGGGCATTATCTAATGAAACATGGATATTTTGTTTTCCAAATAAATCTAATTTAATCTGGCTGTAAGTATGATCTTTCGAAATAACACGTTTATGTAAAGCCCTAAATAATTCCTTTAAATTATCGTAACCAGATTCACACCACGGATTTTGATGTTTGCCCCTATTTGTCGAAACTAAAATGCAAGGCCAACAAAAAAGTTTGTTTTTTATTTCACTCCCAGTAAGCCATGAGTACTTGCTGTACCAATTATCTGAAAATGATCTATTACTTCCCTTACCCGCACTAATATTTATAAGTCGGGACATTTTAGGCAAAGGACGCCCCTTATTTTTAATAACAATTTGTTCTTCGTATGGAATTGATGAAAACCCATTATGCAAAATATAATTTACAATATCAGACTTATCAATACTTACAGTTTCTCCCATGGCTTGCATTTTTTAGGTGTTTACTGAATTTGTTTACACTTTAATTAAAAAAAAAACTTCTAATATGTCAAAAAACCCTTTAACCGTTAACTATTTACGGCAGACGTAACGTATCACAGTATTACTTTAGAAAATAAAAATAAATCACAAAAAGATAGGCTAGTTCGTGCACTGAATATCACTTCAGTTTACTACTATATAAAAATGAAATAACATTTCGTCCCACGCTCGCAATGTACAGTTCGCGACCAATCACCAATCCAAATGAAACATCGGCAAATTTAAATCTGCCGGACTTAGTAATTAAGTTCATATGGAAAGAAATGTATATTTGGTTGCTAATCAACCAATATTCCGTTGATTTTTACAAGTAAAGTCAAGGTTGGGATCGGCTAGCCGAAAAAACAAAACGTGCCTTTTCAAGAATTCATAGGCGGATGGATGTCTCCGATATCGGAACATTTATTTGAAAAGTGTCTACGCAAGGATCACTTAACGCTCAGATTGGACGAATTCTTTTAAAAACCATGAATAAAATTTAGTCTTTATTATATCACAGATATTTTTTTAGTTCACAAAAACAAATGACATCAACTGATTACCTGCCACAATTATTTATTGAAATACTGATTAAATTAAATATTAAAATAATCTATAATATCTATAAAGATGTGGGTCGGCACTGCCGACCCTGCCGACCCTGACCGGCCGCCACTGATTCCATTCTTTTTTTTCTTTTTTGTGTCCATTCATTTATACACTGCATGTTACATTTTCTTCTAATGTCTTCACTTCTCTTTCGATCTCCCAGGGTATTACTGTAATTTTTTTAGTACTCTCATTGGTCTTACACTAGCTCTATAAATTCTTGACTTCATCTCAGTGTTGTGTCTTTTTCATATAGTGTTAGTAAGGCATCCTGTCAGTATATTTGCTTTTTATACTTGATCTCTCAGTCTTTGTCCATAGCTAGACAGTGTAATTCACAGGTATTTTATTTCCATTACTTATTCAATACTGATGCCATCGATTTCTATTTTACATCTGGTTGGTTCTTATTCCGCTGCCAATTTCTATAGGTTGTGTTATTTTGTTTATCTATTCTGACTTTCACTTTGTTGTTTTGGTAAATGTTTTCTATAGTTTTTATAATATCTAGGGGACCTTCTTTATTATACGGATGGAATAAGATTCAAAGATGAATTACATATTTGAATCTTACTCTGTGTAATGTAAACATAGCAAGAAAATAAAGAAAAAAATAAGGGGTTAGTAGCCTAGAGAAGAGTAATAATTGTTTGAATAATTATTATATATTCCAAATTAAATAAAGAATAAATTCGATACAGTTTAATGTATACATTTCAAATTATACAAAGAATTTGACCTAGTTTGACACAAGCCCGAATGTTTAAGAATTACGAAATGCGAAGACCTTCGTGGAAAATAATACAACGAAGCACCGGTAGCATTCGGGCGACCGGAGCCAGAGAGTGCTCAATCGTCAGTAGTAGCTTGGTACCCGTGAGTGCTCGAGGCAGTAGTTTCCGGCGCCCGTGAGTGCTCGGAGGTGGTAGTGTCCAGTACGGGAGTTCAGTAAGAGTGGAACAGCCGAGAGAGCTCCGCGCCAGAAGCACGGGCGATCGGCATTACGCAGTCGAGTGAGCGCGCTATTGTAATTCGACGGGGATAGTACCGTATAAGTGCCGGTACCTGGTGTTTCGAAAATTCGTGATAGCGCGCGGTACCTCAACAAACTGAACCTGAATTCCAGTAGGACTGAAGGGCGTATTCATTAGCTAGGGCCTAAATACGCGAAGGTAACTAAATCTATATACTAACCCAAGTAATATATAAAAACGTAGATTGTCCACCCTTTAATTTCTTGCTAAGATCTCTTCTCGTCTCCCTTCGCGCCTGAACGAATCTTTATTGGTTATAACTGACAGCTTGTTAACTTAATTGTAGTATACAGTCTATTTAATACATTTGTAGACTCGAAATTTGGTTTTATTGTTCCTTTCCGGCCGTTACAGGCAGAGACTAGAAGAGTAAACAATTTCCGCTTATGCATTTCTCCGGCTTTTAAAGTAAGCCCATAGACTCAACTCTTTACAGGACCTGAGACCTAGAAGTCCTTAACCCTTTTTTCCAGATCTCCCTACCCTCCTGAACCCGCGAGGGCGTACCAGCCCATTCAGACTAGTTGAGCCAGAAAGCCTTGCCTTCGCTCGCAGAGATAAGCATCCTTTAAAGTTTAAACCGAGAATGTTACAGGGGTTACAGCAGTTTTAACTCCGCTAGTATTACAGTGGTGACAGCGGACTTGCATCCGCTAGTATTACATCTGTCAAACGCTTTCTATAGGTCAATCAGACACAGTTCATTATACTCTAGTGATTTCTCAGTAATTTGCTTTATAAATAATATTGCATCTGTACACGATCTTTCAATACGAAAACTCTGTTGTTTATTTGCTAAACCTCTGATTTATTAACACTTGTAAAATTTAAGTTGTAAGTTTTAGCGTAGTATTTAATAAGTTTATACCTCTGTAGTTTTCTGGCTGTTTTTTATCTCCTTTTTTGAATAGTAGAATTACTCGTTCTCAATTCTTCTGGTATTTTATTGTGTTTTATAATTTTATTAATTAATTTTGTTAATTGTTTTGTCATTGCTGCTCCACAACATTTCAGTAATTCGTTTGGTATCTCGTCTTTACCTGCTGCTATTCTGTTCGTCAGGGTTTCAAGTATTTTCCGAACTTCCTGTATATTTATATTAAGTTCTTAATTTGTGGTAATTTCTGGTGTTTCCGGTTCTAGCGTCGTTTAGAGCCCTTCATAAAGCTTTTTTTAGGTAGTCCTTACACGTATCATTTTCTATGTGTTTGATTTTATTAGTTTCTTTACCTTTATTTTTGACCTCTCATCTTTTTCTTCTTCTTTTTCATGCCACTAGGATTACTCCTGTTTGTCTGCCTCTTATTCTGTTTCAGTCGTTGTTGACTATACATTATCTTTCCACCTTTTGGACGGCCTTCCAACGGGTCTTCTGCTATACGGCTTGTTGTTTTTACAGATGTTCGCTAATATATCTGGTCCCATTCGGTTTACATGTTCGTTCCAGTTTTTTAATATTTTGAATTTTGCATTGTTCGCGTATACTTCTGTTGGTTTGGGTCTCTTAATGATATGCCCGCTATTGATCTTAATACTTTCATTACGATATTGTTAATTTGTTGTTTCGTCTTTCTTGTATCGGTCCTTGTCTCCGCTGCATATGTTAGGATTGGTCTTACTATTATCTTGTATACCCTAATAGCACACGTACGTCCAGTGGACGTCCATAGTACGTCCCTCACGGACTTTAAGGACGTCCCTCGAACGTCCGCTTTGGTCCTATTTACGTCCGTTTAACGTCCAATATTGGTCCGAATGTCGCTGCGCCGAACGTCCTATGGACGTCCATTTTACGTCCCGAGCGGACGTTAGTTGGACGTACCGGGACGTTACTTGTACCTTAATCGGACGTCCATAATACGTCCAGAGGACTTACTTGACGGACTTTTGTGATGTTCTCGGACGTCTATTTTAGCGCTAAGGATATAAATTAGATGTCAACGCCATTGTATAAAGTACTAAAAGTGGTGTCATCCTGTGCATATTAAGAATGTATTTTGGGAAATAAAACGTAAATGTTTAAAGGAACTTACATTTATTGTTACATTTATTTATATTTATTTATTATTAACAAACGGAACAAATCCACTGTCCAAATTATACAAAAATGCAACATTATAGAAATATAAAACAATTTTGAGTAATAAAACATAAATGTTTAAAGGAACTAACATTTATTATTACATATATTTATTTATTAATAACAAATTGAACAAAATTATACAAAAATGCAACATTATAGAAATATACACAAAATTATAGCGGTAGAAATTACAGACAAGGGCTCAATGACTACATCGACCTTTATCAAGTGGTTGCATCATTTTGGCAAATACAAACCTGCAGGCAAAATGCTTCTGATTTTTGATGAAGCATCGTCATGTTTAGATCCAGATATTTGTGACTTTGCTGAAGGTCACAGTATTAGACTGCACTGCTTGCCTAACAATACGACTAATGAACTTCAGCCTATGGACAAGTCAGTATTTAAACAATTTGAGTCGTATTGTGATGATGAAGTCCAATTACATTGGTCGACAAATAAAGGGAAGAAAACAGAGCAATTAATAGACGGGTATTTGGAAAAAATCTTTAGCAAGGTATGGCCAAAAGCTGCGTTCCTAGTTAATGTCATGTCTGGATTCCGAGCTACTGGAATTTATCCTTTTGATCCAAAATCTATTTCTGACTGTGCATTCGCTCCTTTCCATCCTTCGCAACGTCCTGCACCAGAAGAAAAGATGCGAATGAATTCCGGACCTGCTAAAGCATCAAAAATTTCAACAGTTTCCGAACAAAGGAATTCCCAAAAAAGCAGACGCCAATCCAGCAGTTCTAGTTCTTCGGAAAGTGAGCTATTTTCTGTGAACGATAGTTCATGTGATGCCAGTCTTAATGGCGACGATGACGATAGCGACAACCATGACGAACTCGACTGTTCCTTCCAAGAAATTTTGAAAACTCCAGAGCTGAGGAAGAAACTCCAAACTCCTAGACGGAAGGCACTAAACTATCCGGCGCAAGTAGTAACTAAGAAAGTATTCACTGAAAGACAAAAGGAGTAGAGTGTCAAAGTAAATAATGCCTCTAAGGAGGTTTCAGTTGAGAAAGGCAAACTAGAATTAAGCTTAATTGAATCTTCCATCGCATGGTGAGGGGCAAAATCACTAGTTACTTGTAAAAATTCATTATTTAAACCAACGCAACAGTTACACTTTCCATATGAGAAATATTACTCATATAATATAGTACCTATAAACAGCTTTTTGTTTCAGATATTTTGGTACTTATCAGTTCATCACACCTATTTTTGTGATTAGAGATCCTGAGCTGATTAAAAGAATTACCATTAAGGATTTTGATCATTTTGTTAATCACAGACAAATTATACCGGCGTCCGTAGATCTATTATGGGGAAACAATTTGTTTTCTCTAGAAGGTAAGTTTAACGTTATATAAAACACTTTGAGAATATAGAAACCTGTTTTAGTATAAGAATATCAATAAAATACAGCTCATAAAATTTAATATAGGCCGCGTTATCATAGGCTACTATAAATCAGGTAGCTTAAATATGTATACCGTCACATAAAAATCAATAGAAGGAGAAACAATAACCAGTTCTGTCGAGATTAACGACCATTATGGCAAATAAACCTGCCGGCGTTATCTAACTGTCCCACGAACTACCTGGGCCAATTAATCCCAAGTACTGCAAATTCGCGTTAACCTTGCGCAGCGACGTCACTCGCAGCTTAGTATTCACATTGCTCTTAATTGTATACATAAGCACTCGTAATTTAGTCATCCTAAATATGGATATTTTGCATATTATTTTACTGTCTTCACACATTTAAAAAAAAACGAATGTTTATAATGTTTTCTTAGTCAAAATATTTAATTTTTATGCGAATTAGAACAAATAAGGTATTAGTATAAAAATATAGCTACTTATTTAGGTACCTACATACTTCCACTTTTTATAAACTTTTAAGAAGGAACAAAATTTTTATATTATACATAATTGGTAAATATATAGTTAAGTTTAAATACTTAAAACAACCGTCACTTACACAAGTCAGATGCCAATTTTGAAAATAAATATTACGATCGCGTTAATATTCTTGCTAAATAACTATATATAAAGCAGTTTTAAAACAATTTTCGTTTAAAAATATAATACTATATACATTATGCAATAGTTTTTTCTATTTTTCTTTTATTAGTACGTGCTAAAATAATTTTTTTATTAAAATCTTTTATACGGAAGTACATACGCGATCGAAAAAATATTTTCTTAGCATCTTGAGGACAATCAATATTAACACTTGCAGATAACAGACTTGAAACATATTGTTTGCCAGTAAATATGGTATCTCCATTAAAGTTTTGAAAAATTTGCTCCAGTTTTTCCAAATGAGCCATAAATTCATTAGAAGGTTTACATAGTCCACCTTCTGTCAAATGATTGGTCCAGGTGTAAGACGTCGAACTTGGGTTAGTTAAATTTGGTAACTTGCCTTTAAGCTTGCTACAAATAAATCCTCCTAAATGTTCTAGTCCATCATATCTTAAATCATCGAGTTCTTCACAGAGGACTATGTCATCTCCATCCGTGGGATTGGTGTCAATGATTGTTTTTTTTAAGCAAGCTTTTCTACCATACTACCGCTCATAGTTAATGTAGGAGTACCATTGTCTTCTACATTACAGTAATCTGAAAAAGCACCTTCATTTTTTCCCATTAAATAAGAACGCAGTCGGTATTTAAAATCTAAAGAAGTTGGATGATCGTTCAAACCACCTTTTGCTCTTATGACTCCAAAAAAATTCTCCAAGTTATCTTGGTTTAAGCGTCTCGTCAAAACGTAGTTCATATTATAGCGTTTGCCTACATCTTCAAGCAACAACTGCAGAGCCTTATTTGATATAAGAATACCTACAATGTTTTGTAAAATGTTATAAATGTGTTTTTACTTTGATATACTGTGTTAACTTTTTGAAATGGAAGCAATGATTTCTTGCCTTTAACGCGCATTGTTGAAATCATGTCAGACATTCTATTTAAAATATCGTTTTGGGTTTCTAACTCCAAACCATATGCCCGGTTTCTGGTTCGAGTGTCGCTCACAGGAACGCTAACATTAAATACGTCAAACCAATCGTTCACCTATAACAAGTTAAAACAAATTAGTAATTAATGTTTACCTTACAAATTGTAACTCTTACTAGTTTAAAAAGATCTGCCAATTGTGTCCAAGCTTAGATTAAAATTGCGTTGTTCCGGTTTTAAGTCTCCTAACTTGACAAATTCCCAGAACCAGGCGGTCGGGATCACAATGGATTTTGATTCATTTATTATTGTATTATTAGCTTTTATTACATCATGTACTTTGTAAAGGACCGCTTAGGTATCATTTAAGAATAAATTTTTGAATGTTTTCACACGTTTTTGTGAGTAGACAAAAATGCTCAATGCAAATTACAGGTATCGCAAGAAAAATTGTATTGTCTCTTACATATTTCTTCTCAAATTTAAGAAAAAGTAAAAATTTCTATCTGAATATAAAATTCGGTAGCGGTACAAGCGGCGAAATCAGTAGGTTTGGGAACACTGCTGCTACCTGCTACGCTGCAACTGACGTCACTCCCTGGCCGAAGATCGAGCGACCGTGCGCAATATGTTACCTCTGCATGCTGCCCAATCGCCGAGAAGTTAGGGATTAAGTCTTAATAACCGGAAATTCCAAATTTAATTATACAGTCAAAATCGTTTAGAACGACACCGGCTATAACGTACAATCGGATATAACAAACAAAATAGTAGGTCCCATAAACTGACATAAAAAAACGCATTTATATTGCTTATAATGAACAAATCGGTTAGAGCAAACGTATTTCTTGGAACACTAGCAGTTAAAATATTGGTTACAGCCTACAATTTCAACTGTTGTACCTCAGATGATACAACATCCATTTTTTTCAATTATGAATATTGTTTCCACATCTTAATAAATAAGTTTAAAAGTGCTATCCTGTAAAGTTATGAAAATGGATATTGTAGTGTTGTATTTCTCACAGGTATTACCGATATTTAGTACCACGAAATGAGAAGTAAGGATTTATTAATTTATGGTTATAGTACATCCGGGCAGGCATCTATACTTGATTACTTGTCCTTTAGACATTAAGATCTTCCAAGACGGGTCCACTGTATTACAAAATTTTGTTTATATTACACCATTTGACCCAAGCCAAGAGTTTCTGAATTTGAATTCAGTTGTGTCTAGCCTTCATAGAAAACATGTCACGGAAACAATTTACTATTGAGGAACAGTTTGGAATAATTTGCCGAGTCGATTCCGGTGATTCTGCGAGTTCGATTGCCCAAGAATTTAAAACGTCACGCTCAACAATTGCTGGAATGATGAAACGGCGAGAGAAAATTATTTTGCAATTTAATAAGTGTGAAAAGGAAAACGCGTTCGGTCATCAAATCACAGTGACATTGAAAGTGCTTTGCTCGATTGGTTCAAACAACAACGCGCAAACAATGTACCCGTGAGTGGGCGGATGCTCTTCAGGTGAAGGAAAAATTTCAGGTGAGTCAACAGTTGTTGACAGATCAATTATAAATGACTGGGTTGAAAATGTGTGGCCTACACAGGGGAGTTATAAGAAGTTTAAAGCATACTTTCGGAAATAATTGATGTACAAAATCATCGAAAAGAGGGAGAATAATGACGATACGAAAGTCAGCATTCTTGACGCTATACTAATGTTACCAAAGGAATGGGTATCGGTGCGGAAGGAAACGATCATCAACTGTTACGACTACATCAACGACTTACAACTATCAGGAATCGCATACAACGATATTGCACAAACGCATTTGCAGGATGCTGTTTCCCTTCTCAGTTCTGACTGTTCTGCAGATGATTATGTACGAGTAGATGACGAAATAAGTACGAGCGAAGAACTGTCAGATATTGATATCGTACTGAGTCACCAAACTACTGATAATCAAAGTGCTGATGAGGCTGATGAAGAATTGGAAGATTTCGGCATAATTCCTACTGTTGCTGAAGTGTGTGCTGCTTGTTCCACCATAAGAGAATTTATTCAGACTGCTGAAACTTCCTAGAGTGTAAAAGAATCATTATCGATTGTTTTCAGATCAATTGAAAAAATGTTTTTTCAGAAGTTCAAGGAAGGCGACAATCAAAAATTAGACTTTTTTCATTAAATATTCAGGTAAAATGTTGTATTTACATATTTTGTAATACATAAATGTATGTGTTTTTCTTTGTCATTTTAAAAATAAATAGTATATGTATGCCTACATTTTTATAATGCAAAGATTTGGAGAAACCGTTATATTATAATTACACTTTATTGACTACTTATTCTTATTTCAATATATATTATACATATATGTATGTACATATTTAGATTTACGTAAGTACAATAAACACATATGTTAAATGTTATGTAGAATATGTTATTATAACATATTATAAGTTTAGTAAAGTAACACATTTTCTGCGTCATAAACCTAGGTACAACGAACTAACTGTTCCTACCAGTGTAATATCATTTATAGTAACCTATTCATTATAACCGATAGAACCGCTTACAGAGAACACTACAACGCTATAACGCTACAACGTACAAAAACCACCAGTCCCTTGAAGTTCGTTATAAACGATTTTGACTTGTTGTCCGTGAGTGTTTAACTGTTAAATGACAAACCCAACGACTATAATTAGTCAAAGGGGAGAACTTGTATTATTAATTAATGAATATAAATATTTAAATTCCCATGTCTCCAAAGATGGAAAAGTAAGATGGCGATACATCAAAAAAAGGGTGTTAACAAAAAGTGTACACAAAGGAAGTTGATGAAAATTACGTTATTCTTGAAAAAGCATCGGTGGTGCATAACCATGCTCCAGATATCCATGTTGACTGGCAAATTTTTATTAATTCTACAAAGAGGATGCTGTAGAAGATACATGTGAAAGACCTTTAAAGATTGTCCACAAGGAATTGAGGAAGGAAAATTTCAGCAATTTAACGCTGACGACGAAAGACATTTCTTGCTTTTGAAGAAATATTTATGCTGCAAGACGAAAATCCACACCATCATTGGCCGAATCACAGGAAGAAGTTCTACAAGTGTTAGTGAACTAAAATTTAAAAACAAATACAGGTGAAAACTTTTTATTATCTACGAAAAATAATTCCGCAATTTTTAGTTGTTTCACAAATCTTTACTTTTTGTGTAATGTAGATTCTTTGTATGTAGATGGAACTTTTCAATACTGATCAATACAACATCTTTTATCAATGTCTGTTTGCCTTGCAATTTTTAGAAGGCTCAGATTTTAAGCAGAAATCTGAATTGTGTTTCGAAACTATTTTACGGATTTTGTAATTAGATGTCGCTATCGCGTCCGTATTGAAGCCATTTTATTGTTGCTTCTTAAAAGACAGAAAATATTGATTTTTCACGTTGAGAACACATATGAATAGCTGTTCTGATGAGACCTATTAGGTCGAAATACGTATCAACAGATACATAGGGATTGTTTGCGTGAAATCGAATATTTGCTGTCTTTTTCATTTTTTTTTTATAACAATAATTTTTTTGGAATCGGGCCACAGTTTTCTGCCAATGATGCTGATTTTAGCGATATAGAAAAAGCCATAAAATATCAGCAAAGATTGTATGGGCCAGAAGATTATGCAAATGTTATGAGAAGCTGCAAGAAAAAAATGCAATGACAGTGAACACAGTGAAACAGTGACAGTGAAAACAAGAACTTTCATTTCGCATTTGGACGAAGCATAATTCTTCAATATGGGTAATTTGAAAGAATTTTTTAATTTAACAGTTAAACGCGATCTGGAAATCCAAAATTATATTAAAAAAATAGAAAGGGTGACAGAATGATTCTTATTTTATTTGTTAAGTTAATTACTATTATGTGTATTAATACCTTCCCCTAAGTAAATTAATTCTTCATTAAAAAAAAAACAATTAAGTATGTACGGTTATCTATACATTTTAGGTCAGAAATGGAAAGAAATGAGAATGATTTTAAGCCCAGCTTTCACCAGCAGCAAAATGAAAAACATGTTCAAATGTATGATGGCGGAGGCAGATAAGTTTGTAAATTTTTTGGAATCTAAAAAGGAAAATGTTGTAGAATTAGATGTGAAAGATAAGTTTAGCCGATTCACGTGCGACGTTATTATATCGGTAGCTCTTGGAATAGAACTTGACACATTAAATACGCCTTCCAATGAATTTTACGAGGCTGGTAAAGAATTTACGGACTTTACTGGATGGAGATCGCTATTATTTCTAATAGTATTTATTGCACCAATGTGGATCATTAAGGTAATATATAAGTCGAAAGAAAATGCAAAAAAGTATTTTTGAAGTGTGTATATTTTAGGCAATTCCTAGCTGAGCGCTTTCGGCTTTACAAAGCCATCATCAGAGCTATGCTACAACATCAGAGCTATGCTACAAATGTAGCATAGCTCTGATGATGGCTTTGTAAAGCCGAAAGCGCTCAGCTAGGAATTGCCTAAAATATACACACTTCAAAAATACTTTTTTGCATTCTCTTTCGACTTGTCATAAGTGTGTACAAAAAAATATCAGTCTTTTGATTATTAATATATAAGTAGTAACACATTAAAGTTGTTGCAAGATAGCAACGTTCTGTTTTGACCTACATGTTTTAACCCGGTATCTGGCAACACCAAAAATAGATGTTGCAAAATTATTTAATGGATACAGAATATTATATAACACTAAATAACACCCTTTGGTACAAAAAAATCGGAAGGAGCAAAGGGAAAGCGGTTTTTGAATTCGTTGCCTAGAAGCAACATTCATCATCATCATCATTGGCTTTTACAACTCTTCGTGAGTTTTTGCCGCGTTTATTATTGCCTTCCATTGATTCCGATCCTGTGCTATTATTTCCCATGGCCTTACTTCCATCTTCTCCAGGTCTTCCCTGACTGCGTCTTTCCACCTTTTTCTAGGCCTTCCTGTCGATCTTCTACCATCTGGTCTTTCCCAAAACACATTGCTAATCAGTCTGTCGTCATCACTCTGTACCACGTGGCCTGCCCATTTTAATCTATTGGCTTTTATGTATCTTACGATGTTTGCTTTCCCGAAGAGAGTCTCTATTTCATTGTTGTATCTGCTCCTCCATTCATTTGTCACGCTGCCCCTGCAAGGACCATATATAATTCGCAGGATTTTGCGTTCCCATACTAATAGCTTATTGATTTCTTTCTTTCTCAATGTCCATGTTTCACTTCCATATGTCACTGCTGGTCGTATTATGGTTTTGTACATTTGGATTTTGGCACGCCTTGAGAGAAGCTTTGACCTCATTAGATGTTGAATGGCAAAGAATGATTTATTTCCCGCCAGTATTCGTAGTTCAACCTCCCGTTCTCCTCTACATCATCTACATCATCTGCAAATGCGAGAATAATGCTCCTCTGAACAACATTGCCAGTAAAGAAAGACTATTTGGTACTAACTTCACTAATGAAGATCTTAAAATTAAAGTACTGTTTAGCTAGAAGACATTTTATTGATTTAATAAAAAAAACTGTTACATATAAAGCATATAAGACTAAAAAAATATAAATATAGGACTAATTCTAACGATGGAATGATAAAAAACAGTTTGTTTGGTGTAAAACAAAGCCGCTTGTTACATTTTTCAAACTGCACCGTTGTATATCCAGTTTTACAATATCTACACCTTTTTTAGCGGTATCAAGTGGCCAGTGACCTAACGCATCTTTCTTGTAGCATCATCAGGTGTTACAGCAAAAGGATGGCGAATTAGGATATCTGTATTTTCCGTAAGGTAAGATGGGGCAAGTGCGAACGAAAAAATTCATAGTTAATATTCATTTAACTACAAAAATTGCCTCTTTCAAATTAAGATTTTTTTAAACTTCTGTCGTATAATTGTGATTATTAACCGACCAATTAAAACTATTTAGATAACAAAAATACATTACCTACCAAATTTGCCTATACATTTTTTTTTCGCAAGTACATGTTACGCACTTGCCCCACTGATCCGGGGTAAGAGCAGAATGCCTTAGCCATACTATGTAATTTTATTTTTATGCTTAACTTAATAAAATATTAAGAAAAAATGCTACGAATATTTTTAGGAGAGAGTCAAAACAATTTCAGATATTTGACTGAAAATATTTATTTAAAATAAAAACATAAACTAAACGTACCAGAATGAATAAATCCTGTTAACAGTAACAAAAAATAATAATAATTGGAAAAAATACTTATGCTATGCTTCAAACACTTCAGGTGCAGTCTCAAAAATATACTTTTCGTAATCAGCAGTTATTGATATTTTTGGAACAGGTAGTTTTGTTTCTATGTCCGACAGTAGAATAGTGCAGACATCGTTGGGTTTTAAAATAAAATGGCACTTATTTGTGAGCCTTTTCAAGCCTGTTACTTCGGCTTCATCACCATTGATCAGTTGTTTCACCAAACAAACATATTTGAACATTTTCTTTTTTCCAGGAAAATTTACTAATACAAAATCCCCAATTTGTATTTTGGTAAATGTAAGTTTGTCAGTAGGGTTTTTTTCATCAAACTCTTCCAAATCACTTTTGCTTAGCTCGTCAAATTCAACAATTCTGTTTTCGCTTGAATCACTGTACCAAGAACTATTATCATTTTCGGAACTGCTTTCAGCAATTTTTTTTTGTAAATCTTTTTAATTTTTTTTTCTGGTTTATATTTTTTTGTTGTATTTGAACTTAAAATTTTTTCAACATCGGCTCTTGTTATCACCTCTGCACCCAAGCACACGCGTTTTCTTTTCTTCGAATTAGAATTGTTTTCACGTTTGGTTGACCTCAATAACAACTCTTCGAATGAAACATCCAGAATCTTCTCAGTTTCTTGAAATGTTTGTATATCTGTCGAGCTGGAAGTTGACTGTGCTTCGACTGTGATTGGATTTTCATTATTTTTTGCTGATGTACTAGGCAAAGTTAAGTCAGGACCATCAAACCTAGCCACGTTACGGGTTTTTTGCCAACGTTGGAGAGCCACTGGGTCAAATAAATCTTGCTGAATAATATTCCTATTCAGCGGAACTATTCCTGCTTTAATGAAACCACTCACTAATATTTCGGGCCTGGTTTCCTGCCATATTTCTCCTATCATCTTGGAAAACATACTTTTTGTTACAGCGGCCCCCACATTTCTTCTCTGCCATTCAACAAGTTTAGCATCCCAACGGGTCTTCAGTGATTTAAATACACACAAATCTAAGGGCTGGAGTACATGACTGGTGTGAGGAGGGAGCTTAAGTATCGTAATATGGTTTTCAACAGCTATATTTATGACATCTGCTCCAAGATGACTCGCGTGTCCGTCGTAAATTACTAATACCGGTCGTTCTGAACCAATAAACTTTAAAAAACTGTTTTCAAAATAGTTTCTAAATACAGTTGTCTCCATCCACCCTTTAGGAGTGGCAGCGTAGGTAGTATCTAAAAACTCCGTGCCACGCGGAGCAGTCCACTGGTCCCAAACATGTTTACCTTTGAAGACAATAAGCGGAGGTGCTTTTTTGCCACTTGCGCTGCAGCACATAAGAACAGTTGTATTTTGTTTGCCAGGCCCACTAATAGTTCTTGTGGATGGAGCTCCCCTTTGTCCGACAATTTTTGTTTTTGACGGATCTGTGCAAAAACTGCTTTCATCCAAGTTCCAAATTTGCGACGGGCGTTCTTGTAAACCAAGTTCTTCTATAACGTTTTCAAGTAAATCAAAATAGTTGTAGATCAGGAATGGGTCAAGGTTTTTTTTTTCTAGCAAATTCAACACTCTGGGGTTTTTTAATAGAGAGGTTATGTCTACGCTTGAAATTAAGAAACCAATCTTCTCCTGGTTTACCATCTTTAAACTGTGTCTTAATGTTATTCTCTTTGACGAAGTCAGCTACAACCTGCAACACTTCTTTTCTAGAAAGGCCAAAACCCCATTTTTCCATAGTACGAAGGCCATTTGCTAGTTTTTCTTCTTCCTGTTGAGGAATGTCCTGAGTTCTTCCATAGCTGGAACTTTTTTGTCCTCTCCTACCTTTAAGGTGATCATGGAGAGTACTTCTTGGAATTGTGTACACTTTAGTAGCTCGGTATAAAGTCATTTGCCCAGATTTAATTGCCGACAGTGCAATTTTTAAACTCTCTTTCGTATATCCTTTGCCCCTGCTACTTCTGCGAATGTAATTTCTCACCATGGTGGAACTAAAAGCATAAAGAAAAACTGTGTGAGATTTGGGGCAAGTGCGTAATATGTGCCGCTCTTACCCCACAATTTTATCCGCACTAGCCCCGACTTTAAAAATACGTGGGGCAAGAGCGGTACAACAATAAAAACTGTCAAAAAGTAAATATTTAAAAAATATATTATGTTTATCATAAACTATTGTGCCTAAGATACTTACCTACCAAAAATAATATAAAGATGTTCACAGATTCGGTAGATATAAATGGATTAATTTTTATCAGTGACCTTGCTCGAGAAGTTGCAAAACACAAGTGACACTACCGTACCTATAACATCAGTGAAACGTTAGACTCCGACAAAGGTTGTAGTTTGTGGGATTATGATTCATATAATCGACGATGCGCAGTGGTTCTTGTTTACTAGTGTTACCATAGAAACGGCCAGTTTGCTGTTGCCAGTGTCGTAGTTAGTATCGCAGAGAGTGTTTGACTTGTTGATTTGATCGTGTTGGATATTTTATTATTTTATTTATATTAGTACTTAGTCATAATATTGGTAGTAATAGTGAATTATTAGTCATTTAGTGTATTATAGTGTGTTAGTTTAGTTATTAATAATAGTTGTTTAACAATATGGCTTCTAAAAAGATAGGAACAAAGGGCTGGGTATTAAATAGCCTAAGCAAAGGCAATAAATTTATAATGTTACTACATTTATGGAACACAAGAGGCGGCATATTTCGAAGCAACCGAAAATCTGTTAATACCTTTAAGGAAATTGACGTAAGTATTGTCAATGATATTTTATTTTCTTATATGTGTCGATCTGTGGGTTCTATATTTTATGTGTATGTGTGTAAAGAAATCAATTTAACCGGAATTATAAAAAATTATACAAGCCAATAAACCACATTTTCCACGAGTTTATGTATTAGATTATGAGCTTGAACAACATGGACATAAAGTACTTCGCTTGCCTCCCTATCATCCGGAGTTAAACCCTATCGAAAAAATATGGGCTTTGGTAAAAGGTAGAGTGGCCACTCATAATACATTTAACATAAATGATGTTGAAAATATAACAAGAACAAAATTTTCAGAAGTGTTAATAGAAGAGTGGTCTAACATATGTAAACACGTAAAAAAATATGAAAACACTCAAATCGCAAAAGAACATTTATTAGACTCTACGCTGGACCACTTATAATTTTTATTAATACTGGTTCATCCGAAGAAAGCCTTTCTGATACTGAAGATAGTGATTCAAATTCCGGAATAGACGTGTTTTTGTGTGATATTCCTTTGTCATATAACAAAACATAGAAGTCTTTACAATCTTACTCTTTAGAAAATTTAAGGACATTATTTAATTGGTTAAAATAAATTCCTTATTTTTTTGTGTTGTTGAAACCCTTCCTTCCTTCCTGGCAATGTTAATAAATTGTAAGTATTGAGGAATTTGTTATTTATTAAAGTACTCCTAATAGTTTTCTCATTATTTTATCGAATGCCTGACTATAAACTTCATAAATATTAAAAACTATAAAAATAAAAATTAACAAATTCATTCTCACTTTAATTGAATATACTTATAAAAATTTATTTTAAAGCTACCGGTTTCCATCCGCCACTGGTAGAAACGGTCCGCCCTTCTGCGCGAAACACTACGTCACATATTCCCAACTATATGGTTTGTTACGACTCTAATAAAGGCAGCTCGCCGTTGTTAGTTAAAGACTGTTGTCACGGGTATTAAAGATACCAAATATAGATGGCAGCCCATATTTCAAAAGTGATAGGTTTTTATGATAATGTTCTGCACTTGCCCCGATAATGCACTTGCCCATCTTACCTTACTTGATTGACGGCCTCGCTTTACTTTTATCTTTTCCCTTTGACTTTTTTGAGTACTATTTAAAATTTACTTTTAAGTTTAAAGATTATTAATGAGACTATGGAATTTTACTAGAAGTAAAATTTATAAAATGACAAAAAGGAATAAAATCTAAAAAATTGCCAGATAGATAAACAAGAATCAAATCGTAACTTCCAAATTTAAGGTCTAAAAATAAAGACGTCGTTTTTTTCCCTTAACAAACTTACAATAACTTTTTAAACTGCTTAAATAAGGATTTTTTCCAATAAAATAAAATAAAATAAAACAAAATAAAATAAAATAAAATAAAATAAAATAAAATAAAATAAAATAAAATAAAATAAAATAAAATAAAATAAAATAAAATAAAATAAAATAAAATAAAATAAAATAAAATAAATAAAATAAAATAAAATAAAATAAAATAAAATAAAATAAAATAAAATAAAATAAAATAAAATAAAATAAAATAAAATAAAATAAAATAAAATAAAATAAAATAAAATAAAATAAAATAAAATAAAATAAAATAAAATAAAATAAAATAAAATAAAATAAAATAAAATAAAATAAAAATAAAATAAATAAAATAAAATAAAATAAAATAAAATAAAATAAAATAAAATAAAATAAAATAAAATAAAATAATAAAATAAAATAAAATAAAATAAAATAAAATAAAATAAAATAAAATAAAAATAAAATAAAATAAAATAAAATAAAATAAAATAAAATAAAATAAAATAAATAAAATAAAATAAAATAAATAAATAAAATAAAATAAAATAAAATAAAATAAAATAAAATAAAATAAAATAAAATAAAATAAAATAAAATAAAATAAAATAAAATAAAATAAAATAAAATAAAATAAAATAAAATAAAATAAAATAAAATAAAATAAAATAAAATAAAACTATAAACTTAACTAAAACCCAATTTTGCCAGTAGCTTCGCCGCACCAACTTAAATTAGATCTTTGTTCTGTCGAGTCTGGAACTGGAATGAAATTGTGTCCTAAAGACAAGTATAAGAAAGCTTTGAATTAAAACTAATTAGAAGTCTTGGCATAATGATTGTCCCGTCACTATTTATTGATTTCCAATGCATTCATTCATTCTTGCTTTGCAACCCTGCGTGGGTCATAGCCTCCTCAATAATTTGTTTCCAGTCGTCCCTATCCATCGCCTTCCTGCGCCAAGCACAAATTCCCATGTTTTTCATGTCTTCATCGATGTTATAACGATTGGTTTCCGATACAATATTAAAAATCCTGATATAGATAACCACACATGAACTGTATAGAGGGTATAATACTGGTATAATTTATATATTTAAGGAAATGATTATGATAAAAACGACACACCGTCACGTACCCATCGAGCAAAAAGATAAAAGAGGGAATCTAATCGTTATGAAAAGGAGACCAAAAAAGTGGCCTCTGATGGCGGACATATCCGGAAATGCAAAGGCGCTAAATTTAAATTTTCCAACACTTATTAACAATAGCTATAAAATATTTTTCAGACGAGAAAGTTTTAATTAAATATTAACTATAATAGTCTAAAAAGTGACACAATTGGTAAAAGATTTTAATATAAATAAAATTTCATGTGACAGTTGGGACAAACAATAACATAACCTAACTAAATTTGACTTCTTAAACAAGGAAAGAGACTGTCTATCCTTGTCTAAAGTGGCCTCTCAAGATGGCACTTCCTGTCTATCAATATGTTTACCCCCACTACCTTTACATTCCCTCTTTTGTCTTATTGCTCGATGCACGTACCCTTGCTTGCATATAATTATAATTTATAACCTTTAAATATTTTTAATACTTTTTTAGCTACTAGGTTTTAGAGTCTTCTCCGAAAGAGTATCAAAGTTTTTTGTGGATACCGTTGAACGATCTATTAAGATACGTGAAGAAAAACACATTATTCGAAAAGATTTAATTAACTTATTGATGGAAGCTAGAAAAGGTCAAAGTACGTACGAAGATGAAATTACTGTAGAAACGGGTTATGCAACTGCTAAAACATCTTCATATTTCGGTAAGTTCATCATAATTGAGACACTATTTAATAGCAGCTATTAATTATAGCTGATATGTGTGTTTTCAGTACTAAATTAAACAAAATAAACCAATAAATTAATATTTAAAAGTACAATTCTGCCCTGTTAAGAATAGAAGTCGTATCTGCAATTTTGAGTTTTTAGGTTATAATGCCAATTAATTGATAGCTAAATAATCTATACGTTAAGAATGCAAGTCTTATCTGCTGTTTAAAAATAAGTTATTTCACTTTAAAATTTTGTCGGATCTGCATTTTTACAGTTCATGTTATGCCAATTTGTCGAATCTCCATTTGTTAACATTTTTATTCGTATCTTCACAAGACGATTTTTAGTTACGACAAATTTGCTTAACAATTGTGTGGTTTTGACAAATTATTCTAACAACGGGAAGATCTAACCTAATTACTCATAGTGTTTCTGCCTTTTTAGTTTCTTAACCTAAAAATTAAACAGTTGTAAGCTTTATTCGGGGTATCTGATTTTAGTTATTTACTAATATTAATCTTATTGTTTAGTGTTTTTAAGTGTGTTTACAATGAAGTTTATCAACTGAACCAGTAACAATGGACAGAAATAGCAGAGCATTTAAAATTCTGCATATTTTAAATAAGCAACAAAGGGAGAAAATACATAGTTTACGACGACGTGCGAAGAAACCTAAACTTCAGCATGATAATGACCACTATTTTATTTTGTCAGATTCAGAGATGGCAGAAATTGAGTAACCGAAATTACACAGGAAAGATTTAAATAAAGTGAGGATTATTAGTGATATAACGTTGAGAGCTGCAAATGTTGTTCCTGAAGAATCTGATTCCAAAGATGAGGAAGAAGGTAAGGAAGACTGTCTCCCTTTTATTCAAGAAATCTTGATAGATATAATGTATGTATCTGTTGAAAGGGCGGAAAAAGACAAATTAACTAAAAAAGGGAAATCCGTAAACGAAAGAAATTTAAAGAGAGCCTAGCAATGGGAAAAAAAAGAAAACTAATAGCCACAATTGCTAAGCACGGTGTAAAACCATCTTGTATCTCTTGCAAGAGAAGATGTTCCGAAAAAATTACAGAATCGAGACGAACAGAAATAAATGGAGATTTTTGGAAATTTCAAAAGGACGAAAAGAAAAATTTAATTTTTTATAACGAATCTGAACAAGTAACCAAACGGAAGACCACAGATAGTGTTGTATCTAGAAAGTCGAAAAGTTTTTTATATTTCCTTAAAGACAAAAACGGATGCAAACAAAATGTCTGCAAAATATTTTTTATGAGAACGCTGGGATATGAAAAGAAAAATGACAGAGTTATTAGAGATGTCCTTACTAAAACAAATTTAAAAGTGACGGCCAACAGGAATAAAAAACGAAAAACAGGAAAAATTAAAATAGTTCGAAATATTATTAAAGAACATATAGAATCTTTCAAACCCACAGAACCACACACACCGTCGGGAATACGCACCAGAACGACGTTATCTTCCCAGTGACATCACAATAAAAATGATATACCAGAATTTTATTGAAAAATATCCAAATATCAATTTTATGGCACGAAGGAATAGCCGGACGGAGTAAATAGGATATTGCCAGCACATTCTATAATTTTTTTTTGTCTCACCGAGACCCTAAACATGTTATAATGTGGCTTGACAATTACTCTGCTCAAAATAAAAACTGGGCTTTGTTTACTTTCTTTACGTTTATTGTAAATTCTGAGGAAAAATTAAGTATTAAGTATTTTGAGCCTGGCCATACCTTGATGGCTGCGGACTCATTCCACCACCAAGTGGAACGTTCCATGAAGCAAATGGGTAAAATATACGATTTTAAATACTTTTCGGATGCAGCAGCAAATGCAGCAAGTAATGCTAAAGTAATTGTTATGGAATTAGCTGACTTTTTTGAATGGAAAGATAGTACTTCTGCATATAAATTGAATAAAATTAATCCCAGGCCATACCTAAATCAAATGGTTCAAGTAAATTTTTCTAGAGGTAAATATACTTTTTCGTACAAACCAGCTTCACCTCGAGACACATAAAGTGAAGTAAATATTCTAAATGCAAAGATTGCAAAACAGGGAATGACAAAACCTTCACCCAAGTCTACTCCTAGAGGCATAAACATTGAAAGAAAACTAATTATATCCAAAATGTGTGAACAATTGTAAATTTTGCTTACCTAAGGGGAAGAACATGGGGGAGAAGATTGGGCAAATAAAATAATCGAAACTAGTGCGTACGGCACTCAGAGGGTTGTTGGAGAGCTGGCTTGTGGATAAGTTATAGGAGTTATATAGTTTTACTTTATAAGAAATAAAATGGGTCGGATTGGGGTATCTACTTAATGAAAACAAAGGGATACTTTCATAAATCTCCTGGACAACTGGACAATAAAGACAACAAAAAAGGGCTTCTAGCAATTAAAGATACGGGCGCCGCTTCGAAGGATCCTAGTTTGCTAAAGGAAAGAAAAAAGGATCTTCTATCCTAAAAAAAGTAAACACACAAAAAGGGTTAGGAGATTTTCAAAACAAAATAATCAGAGAAACAAATCAAATATTTATTTTTGTCTCAAACAAACAGTTTTCAAAAAGATACATTACACAAAAAATATACTATATTAATAGTTGCAAAATACAAAAATACAAAAAAAAAACTTACGTGCCTATCTTTTTACAAAGGGATTGCTACAAAACTTACAAATGTTAATGAAATATTAACTGTTCTACTGTTAATGAAACTGTGTCAGAAATAATTTATTACAAATAAAGAAATATCTTTAAAATAAAAATATTCATAGAGAGGTTAATCTTCTTTAAAAAACCAAAGCAAATTATTGTCAAAAAATAATAAAGCTAGCTGCTAGCTGTCATAATAAAATCTTAATCTTACTTACAACGGAGAACAAATCAAATTGAGAGCATAACCACACTCTAAGATTTACAATATTAATTATTAAAACTTTTAAATTGTATGAAAGCAATTATTATTTTAATGTTTATTTTCCTTCAAAAGTTTAAAACAAAAAAGGGTTACCTTGGATTCACTAAACACACTAAGATTTTTGGGGTTACCTCCTCTGCCACACGATCAAATCTATTTCCATACTGTGAGAGACACCCTGGGACGGCTTCTTAGGACAAATATTACAAACTTGAGGTTGAAAATTTTGAACACAAAACTTTGGAAGGGCTTCTTAAAAAACAGGAATACATAAAACTAGACACAACGGCAACATGTGGTTATCTTTCGAAAATTTTTACAGGCAACACAAATCCCTTAGGTACTTAGAAAAATGAAAATAGTGATTACTTCTATCTTTTCAACACTTTTTGGCCGGTCTCTTTACCGACTTTCTACATTGTCACCCGTCTGCCCAGTTTCAAATCTTTTCTTTGGACTCTCTTCTGCGTTACATTTTACAAATTCAAACGCCAAATATCTATCTCCCCCTTGCGTCTACAAAACCTAAACAAACAAAATTCTCCTTGATATTCGTTCTTAACGACGAAAGACAATAAAACCTCTTTTTTACAACAACAGTATTAGGGGACTTCATGTAATATAATCGTTTTTGGCGACAAAAAACATGTTGAAATAGTTACCTTCAAATTGGGTAAAAACAACACGCAGTTTAAACCGGAGTTTTTACCTAACATTGTAACAAAGGTAAAAACAAATATATATTTTTGCCTTATCTCGTCAAAAAAAAAACTTCCTAGCTCGAATATCAATACATAAACTTTATATTTATATTTATATATAAACTTTATATTTATATTATTTAAATCGTTTAACTTCTCCGTCTAAATATATGAAAAAAAACTTGCTACAACTTGAGATAAACAACCAGGTGCATACTACAAAAATTCATTATATACACATTAAATATTAAACGCTACAACATGCCTAAAAGCAGACAAACATTTTGGAATAATTTATCAACTTCAATGGAACCTGGAGCTTTAGATGATTAAAAAAACTGATTATGAATTTATGTTATTTTGTTTATCTTAATAAACTATAACTTTGATTAACATAAGACTTTTTACTTTACCTTATTTTTATGATTTGTTAGGATTAAATGTCGTATCTATCAAAAGTCTAATTTCAAATAATCTGAAAGAAAATTGCACGCACTCATTAAATTTGTACTCTAAAAATATATTGCTATGTTGGAACAAGATTTTTAATGAGTCTTTACAGTTGATAGCAATTAACAAAACTAAAACATCGAATATCTCAAAATGGGGATTTTGTCAGTTACGACTTCTATTCTTAACAGGGCAGAGTTGTCCTTTGATAATCCGACAGGTATGAGACCAAAGGGGTGTCGGATTACCAAAAGCGTCCGGATTACCGAAAGTAATTATATCTTTTAAATTTTTTTGCTAGCAGTAGCGTACAATATTCTTTAATTTTATGAGTAAAATACTATCCAGATTAATATGCAAACGAAACACTCATTTCGGCTAACTAAAACATGTTTATTAAAAGAAATATGGAAGCTAATAAATTTAATATACATACATACAGTGTGTAAACATAACTTATAACATTATACGTAGTAATAACTAAATGCTGCAACTAAGGTAGATTCATTATGGACGTATATATATTTTTAATGCCTTTGGCAGTTTGCCATACAGCCAGTTACATGATCTTTTAATCTCATTAGGCGCAGTAAAACGTTTTTGAATTATTTGCAATCGAATAGACTAATATGTATATCCATAACCGTCTTCTGACAGTTTGACTGGAAATCGCTCGTCCAGTAGTATGCCTGAAGATACTGTTAGTTCTGGAAGCCGTGAATGTTGGGTTTCTTCTTGCCGTCAGAACTACAAAACGGTCTTGCCGACGAGTTGTAGATCGTTCTCTTCCTCCTCCATGCCTGTATGTTGCAGATCCTGTTGCTATATACCGATTCCATGCACGACTTATCACACTTTGCGACACATTTAGCCTCATAGCGACCTCTTGTAGAGGTATGCCTTGTTGGATCGAACGAACTATTGCTCGAGCTGCCATAGTTCTAAACGTCTTTGCGGCATAATGTTTTTGTGATAAATAGATTTCTTGACTTATTGACAACTGGTAAGGCCAATACAAGCACTTTTATACGAATGATATATTCATGTTTGGAACAACATTTCTCTCTTTGTACGAGATAAGGGCCGATAAGAAAAGGGAGAAAAAAACCACATGCAAAAAATATTGGCAATAAAGATAGCATATAGAGTATAGTTCAGGCAATAATTTAAAAAATAGTTTTATATATTAATTTTGAGATCACTCTATAGTGTTAAATCGTTTAGATACTCCAAAAATACAATATTTTGCTTACTTCTCTTCATTTTTTGTATTATTTACAAATTGATTATACATTTTAATACTTTACATATTCTACTGGTATTCTTACATACATTATTTTAGCTAACAAAACTCTGGAAAATATAAACATTTCGAACTCGGACGTAGCTGCGCAAGCTTTAATATTTTTCTTCGGTGGATTTGATACCACTGCAACAGCTATGCGATTTATGGCCTACGAGCTAGCAGTGTGCCCAGACGTTCAAGATAAGCTAAGAGCAGAGATTATCGAAACGTATGAAAGTTGCCAAGGAAATGTGACATACGAAAATATCATGACCATGAATTATTTGGATATGGTGGTTTCAGGTAATCTCTTACTTTAGATTAAAGTTTTACTCTTTTTCTCATAAAATTTTAATAATTTCAACAACCGTTTTATTTTGCGAAGGTAAGTAATTTTGAATCAAATACATCTTTAACTCTATAACAGTGGATTTAGAGCAGTCTCTAGATGGTCAATATTGACACCAAATTTCTACACAATATTTGATAATATGCAGTATTAAGAGCCTTCTATAGATTATTTGAAAATATGGTGCAATAAGGTCTTTTATATTCAAACCAGTCAAGACCTAACTGGAAAAGTCTATGAGGCCGACAAGCCTGATGTTATTTGCACTGACGACTCTAGAAAAAGTGCTCGATAGGTATGTAAGGTGTTGTGATTTTGTGTTCATTTCTCGATATAGAGGTTGTCAATTTTTCACATGCGAAAAACAATACTATATCTTACGCTGTATCAAATCCTAAATTAATATCCTGAATTTTAAACCATCACTTATTCTAACCGTGAGCAATACTTTCAATGCTGACTGTCTATCTATCTAATTAGCCTTCTTCGTTCGATCTTTCGATATAGGCCTCCCCAATCCTTTTCCATTCTTCTCTGTCTGTCGCTACAGTCATCCACCTAGAGCGCACGTGGTTCTTGATATCATCTGCTCGTCTCATTTGGGGCCTTCCTCTGCTTCGTTTATATTCCCCGGTCTCCAACTTATAAGAATTTTGTTCCATTGGTCTTCTTTTTGTCTTATATTGTGTCTGGGAAATCTCGATTTCAATTTTGCAACTTCTTGTCTAACATCCCTCACTTTTGTTTTCTCTCTTATCCACTCGTTTCTTTTTTTATCCATTAGCTGAATAATAAGGGAGATACAACCCTTTAAAGGGGTGAATTGAAATTCTTATTTTTTCAAATATCTTCCAAACGGTTTTGAATACGGAGTTTATATTTTGGGAGTAATTATAAGACATTAGGATAATTAATTTGATGTCACCATCTACCACATCCTATATTGATACAGGGTAGTTTTGGAGGGTAAGTGGGGGTTATTGCGTCACATGTGTTTTAATTTTTACATATTTTAAAAATTGTTTCCTTAGACTTGTCTACGCAAAAAATGTGCTCTTGTAATATTTCGATAGATATCACCGTTTTCAATTTATTTAAACTCGAAGGTATACATGTATTTTATTGTAACCGTTACATTTCTTAATATTCATCAAGTATGCTTTGGAATTGACACTTGTGTTAGCAATAATATTACAAATTAGTGGAAAACTTAATCAAAACCCCCTCTGTGGTCAGTGGTAAGAGCGCCTGCCTTTAAATCTAATTAAGCTCGTTCTATAATTCATTCATTAAGCCGTTCATTAGCTGCGGTATTCATTAGCTCGTTCTATAAGTATTTTCATACTTAGTAAATGGTCACTTGTGCTGAATCCCTTTCTAAAACCAGCTTGTTCTTTCGGCTGGTATCCGTCGAATTTTATCGTCAATCTATTGGTTTAAATTTTTGTTAGGAGTTTATACATTACATTGGGGAGTGTTATAGGACGGTAGTTTTTTATATCTGCTTTATCCCCTTTCTTGTGTAGGATAATGGTTACTGATTCCTTCCAGTTGTTTGGGATTCTTTTTTCTTTTAATATAAGTATTGTTAAAAGGGAATGTAGAGTATTAATTACCACTTTTCCACCATATTTCAGCATCTCTGCTATTATTCCATCTTTTCCAGGCGATTTGTTGTTTTTCATTTCTTTAATGACTTTTTTATTTCTGATTTGCTTACTTCTGGCTGTAGCTCTGACATTTTTTATTTTAACCTCCTTTCCCTTTATTCGCAGCATATTTAACGATTCTGAGGTATAGACACTGAAGACGTAAAAATAATGAAGAAGAAAAGGTATTATAGTATTGATTAACGGTAATTTCCATTTTTTTTGTTGTTGCTTAATACTTGATATGACATCGTGACATCGTGATATTTCTGTGAAACGGGTTACGGTTAATACCTCCCTATGGACAGGTATAATTATGCAATGGAATCGAGAAACCACAATAAAATCGATCCTTTCTTTTTTTCTGTACCAAACCACAGTATATTGCTAAAGAATTCTGTATAAAGCAATATACTGTGGCTAAACTATGAGTTAATAATCTAATACCGGTAAAAAGGTTAAGTTTCCTCTAAAATGTCAGTGTATTCATAAGAAATTTCGTTGCTCGCAGAGGTCAGTAATTGAATAAGGTGAGAAAGCTATTTTTTGAGTTATCTGACAAATACACTTCTCACAGATGAGAGAGTTTATAGAAAGTTCTCCACTCGCATGTTTTGGCCATGAATGGTTTTTATTAGCTTACAATCGTTTATAAAGGTTTACGATTTATGGATCAGAGAATATATATGTTCTATGTATTAGTGTTTTGTTTTATCTTCTTCGTCTTCTTCTAATGGCGCTACAACGTTGTGTTAGTCTTGGCCTGCTTAACAATGTTCTTCCATTCTGCCCTGTCGGATACTTTCCTTCGCCACTGCCTGATGTTCATGGTTTTAAGATCCCTTTCTACATCGTCTATCCATCTTTTACGGGGCCTTCCTCTGGTTTTGTTTCCTTGGGGCTTCCATCTCTGGACTACTTTTACAGTTCGATTATCTGGCATTCTTTCTAGGTGACCAAGCCAGTTTAGTTTTTGTGACTTTCCATATCTAACAATATCTGCGCTCTGCATTAGTCCATCCAGCTCGTGGTTCATTTTAATTCTCCACGAACCATCGCTGCATTGGGTTGGGTGTTTTACTTTGTGTCCATCGATATTTGCCGTTTTCATCATTGGGGCCGACTCTCCTTACCTTGTCCAGGGTAGCTTTTACATTAGATCCCCAGTAAAGTGTTCTACTGAACATTACACTGAGGTCCTTGATCTGAAAGCTAATAGCCAAATTCCTTGGAACGCTGATATTTGACTACATCGACGATTATATTTATGGATGATAAGGTGTTAGCGTTGAACATGTTGAGAAGAAAAATTAAATTTTTTTGTATCTTTTACTATTGTTTTCTTTAGGACCATATCTATAATATTTCAGTAAGTTTATATACCATTGCGTGGTTTCTTCGTCACTTTTAAGGTATCATATTGTCTTTTTCGGCTAATTTTAAAACAGTTTTACCCATTGAACATAATATATGGGACCTGATAGATTAAATCAACTTTCTTTCTTGATAATATATTTGCGTTGTCTAAGGTATGAAATGCAAAATACTTGTGACTTCCTTAGATATATCGGTATTCCGTTAAAGAAGAGAATTCTTAAAAAAAAACAATATCTGCTATTTTAGTTGCGCTTATCCTCGCGAACAGTTCGTATTTTTATAAGTCAATCCTTATAAGTTAGTTACTCATTGCTTTTGAATTAGATAATGTTATAGACTTGCATAATGTATTTTCGTTTTAGAACTCATGAGGAAATGGCCAAATGGAATTGTTCTGGAAAGAATATGCAACAAACCCTACACAATCCCAGCCGAACATCCCGACGAAAACGACGTAACACTTCCAGTAGGAACACCAATCTGGATACCAGTGTGGGGTATCCACAATGATCCCAAATATTATCCGAACCCGGAAAAATTCGATCCTGAAAGATTTAGCAGTGATAATAGAAATAATATTACTCCATACACATACCTTCCATTTGGAGAAGGTCCTCGTAACTGTATTGGATCTAGATACGCTCTTCTAAATATGAAAGTTTTATTTTTCCAACTTCTAAGGAAATTTGAAATAGTTCCAGTGGAAAAATCGAAGATTCCCATTAAGATATCAAGACAGAACTTCACATTGGACGGAGACGGTTTTTGGTTTGGCATGAAAAAGTTGTAAATAAATTTTTAAAAATAACATTGGTCCTTAGCAATCAAATAAAGTAATTTTTATAGATATTAAATGTTTCATTTAATTGGGTTTAATTTAATAATTAATAAGTATATCAGTAATGTTGGAAATTTTAATTAAATATCGGAAAAAATTTTTATTAAAATCAAAAGTTGAAATTTCAAGAGTATGTACAAACCTGGTACACTACAAAATGTGATAAAAAAAATGGAAAGATGCAAAGAAATCTGTACCCTGGAGGTAAAGGGAATGTAATGACCACCGTATAATTAGTCTAATGAGTCACACACTAAAAATATTCTTAAAAATTATCCATTTAAGAATTTTCAGAAAAGCGGAACAAGACATCACTGAAACTCGATTTAAATTTAGGAATGCCATTATTTGCATTTAACGTCCTCATGCAAAGATGTATGGATATAAACCAACCACTCTATGTTCATGACACTGTGATCATAGTAACGAGTATAGAGAATCTACAACATCTTATCGAAAGCTTGAGTATGAATAGTGCTGAGATGGGAATTACTTTGGGAACTTTGATAAATGAAACCCATGATGATACTGCAGAAATAAACAGGCGAATAGAGATTGTCAGATCAGCATTTGTACGGATGAAGCCACTCCTAACGTGCAAAAAATCTAAATTTGGAGATCAGACTGCGTACCATTCGCTGTTATATATTTTCAATATTATTATATGGACCTGAGACTTGGACATTAAAAAAATGTAATTTAAAAAGAATCAAGGCCTTCGAACTCTGGTTATACCGCAGAGTAATGAAAATATCATGGACTGATAGAATTACAAATAAAGAAGTAAAGGAGAGGGTTGATATTGGAGAGAATCAATAAATGAAAACAACACAGAAATATGGAACGCATTTAAAGATGTTACCTTGAAAGTAATAGAAAAATATTCAACAACGTTACACAGGTACAAAAAACAACAATGGATGACTGATGAAATCCTGGAATTAATGGAGCAGAGAAGGAAACTGAAAGGTAACAATACAGAATATAAGGAAAAACAGAAACTAATTAAACAAAAAATAAAGGTGGCTAAAGAAAAATGGATGGAGGATAAATGCAAAGAATTATAAAACTTGAATGAAAAACATGATAAGTTTAATATGTTTGAAAAAGTTAGAGAAGTAGCTGGTCTTTATCATAAGAAAACTCCACATACTATAACCGATTCGTCGGGAAAAATGATAATAGACGAACATGAAATTCGAACAACCTGGTGTAATTATATAAGTGAACTGTATAATGAAGATAGACCCGAAGAACTGGAGACTTTAGTTGAAGGTGAAGGACCAGAAATACTAAAATCAGAAATACTGCATGCTATAAAGTTAACAAAGAACAAGAAAGCCGTTGGCCCTGATAACATACCGACAGAGATGTTAAAGCTTATAAATGAGCAGAACATTGAAATACTGGTCAAACTTTTCAATGATGTTTATTCGACTGGTTATATCCCTGAAGATTGGTTAAAGTCCGAATTCATAACACTACCAAAAAAACAACGTCCGAAAAACTGTAGCGATTATAGAATGATAAGCCTTATGAGCCACACTTTGAACATATTTCTACGCATCATCCCCAGTAGAATCAGAGATAAATGTGAAGAAGATCAGGATGAAACACAATTTGGCTTTAGAAATGGACTGGGAACTCGGGACGCCCTCTTTGCACTAAATGTATTACTGCAAAAATGTCGAGATCAAAGGAAACACGTCTTTGCTGTATTTATTGACTATGAAAAGGCCTTTGATCGAGTACAGCATCACAAATTAATAACAATATTAAAAGATAAAGGAGTTGATAGTCAAGACATACGATTCATAGAAAAGTTATACTGGCGTCAAACAGCGACAGCTTACATAAACGGAAAATCAACAGAAATATGTAAAATACAAAAAAGTGTCAGACAGGGTTGTATACTATCCCCACTGTTATTTAATTTATATTCAGATAGAATATTTAAAGAAGCGCTGCATAATTTGGAATGGGGCGTGAAAGTTAATGGAATTCTGATAAATACAATTAGATATGCAGACGATACAGTTATTTTAAGTGATGACATGAATGGACTACAATGCCTTTTAAATGCCATTGATACAGTGGGAAGAGAGTTTGGCCTAAACATAAACTGTTCAAAAACAAAACACATGGTGTTTAGCCGTTTAGCACATCAAGATGCACGATTATATGTTAATGGTCATATAATTCAAAGAGTGTCCAGTTTAAAATATCTTGGTTGCCATATTACTGAACAACTAAATCCAGATCAAGTGATAAAATGTAGAATCGAGATAGCCCGCACGACATTTTTAAAAATGAGGTCATTCGTCTGTAATGATAACTTGCAACTTCAACTTCGAAAGCGCATGGTTAAATGCTACATTTGGTCAGTCCTCTTGTACACTGTCGAAGCATGGACATTAAAAATATCCACCATTAATCGTCTGGAGGCCTTTGAAATGTGGCTGCACAGACGTATACTAAAAATTCCATGGACGGCTATGCTGACAAATGTAGCAGTCCTTGAGAGAGCAAATGCTGCTCGCGAGCTGCTTGATAACATCAAATGAAGAAAGATGACCTATTTTGGACACGTAGTAAGGGGAGACCGATATAATATTCTTCAACTTATTATGATGGGTAAAATCGAAGGGCGCATAGGAATTGGTAGAAAGCAGGCCTCTTGGTTGAAGAATATCAGGGAGTGGACAGGAATAAAGAAAGCTGAGCAACTATTTAGAATAGCTCGAGACAGAGACAGTTTCGCCATGTTATTCGCCAACGTCAAGGGGACTTGATAGGGCACGTTAAGAAGAAGGCAGCATCCAGAAAAATATTAATAATAAAAATCAATATTAAAAAGAGATTTAATTTAACTTTGTAGTCGTTCTTTGCAAGAAATATTTTAACAATAGTAAACAGTAAACAAGAAGTTTTAGCAACAAATAAAAAGCTTTAGAAAAAAACGTCTAATAAACTTTTTAAGAAACGGAAACCCTCGCAAAATGTATCGTTGGGTAGTAGAAATATTTTTAAAATGTATAATAACATTCTAAGGCTACAAAAATAGCAACATTTACTTATAATGATAAATTCATCAATTAGAGATACATTTATAAAATATTGACATCAATAAAGCTTTTATGTTATGCTAGTTAGGTTTTTCTACATATTTAATTTTTTTTATTTGAAGCCCGCCATCACTTACATGCACGGTACATTTTCTTTGACTTACATTAACCTTTATATTATTTGAGAACACGAAAACAAATCATTAAATGTAAGTTCCGTTTATACAGTATATTTTTCCATTTTTGAGAAAAATTATGTTAATTTTCGATCGTTTAGAGTAATCATAGAAGAACAATATCTATCTATTCAATAATGGTAAGTTTTTCTTCATATATTGCTATGTACGAATTTCTTATAAATATGTTTAGGATCACTAATAGATCTACTTTTATACACTTCGAATTTTAACCTTTTTCTGTGATATAGTCTTTCTTAAGTACCTTCCAAAACCTTCAATTTTGTAAATATATTTTACAAATTTGGCTTAAATAGTTTTCTGTGCTGAGAAATTTAATAGCTAATTCTCCCAATACGTGAAGCACTGTCGAAGACAAGCTAAAAATACGGTTTTAACTGATAATGTATTTTAAGTTTATTTAAGTGTGAAAATTGCAGAGGAATTGCTGTAAACAGCACAATAAGTAGGATGTATGGGAAACTTATTAAGAACAAAATAGAAAATGACTATAGAGATTACGAAGCAGAGGAGCAAGCTGGTTTTAGAGCTGGGCGATCCACAGTAGACCACTTATACTCTATTACGCAAGTTATTGAGAAAAAACAGCCGTCAATAAAGAGGTTCACCTGGTGTACGTAGACTTACAAAAAGCATATGACAGTGTACCCCTCACAGTGTTAAACTATAGTCAACCCTACAGCAAACCAACATTAAGCATGGTCTTATCAAAGCAGTCCAAAGTCTGTATAATGAAACGACTGCAAAAATTAAAACTGGATCAAGGATATCTGAGGGATTTAAGGTCACGAAAGGGTTAAAGCAGGGTTGCTGTATTTCGCCTACCCTTTTCAAAATTTATCTGGAACAAGCACTCAAGCTGTGGAAAAGAAAATGTAATGGCATGGGAATCCCTCTCAATGACGAGACTACACTGTACACCTTATGTTTCGCTGATGACCAAATACTGATTGCTCAGGATCATGACGACTTGAGTTACATGACTCGGAAGCTACTAGAAGAATATAACAAATGGTGTCTCGAAGTCAACATTAAGAAAACTGAAGCCATGTGTATTGGAGGGACAAAGCAGTCCATTATATTAGACGATGGGGTAAAAATTAGACACTGTGATGAATACAAGTACCTGGGTATGAAGATAACTTAAGATGGAACACTCGATGCTGCTATTAAGACAGAAACATACAGGTAGAAAAGCCATATCCATGATAAACGGCATTCTGTGGGACCAAACAATATCTAAAGCGAACAAACAACTCATATACAACACCATACTTAAAAGTGTAATCACATAAGACAAAGAACAGAGAAACTTTTACTAGCAACAGAAATGAACTTCTGGAGAAGAGCAGCAGGCAAATCAAGAAGAGATAAGATACCAAATGAGAGATTACGAGAAATGATGGGAGTCAAACATACAATAGTTGATGACATAACAACAAAACAGTTAATATGGTACGGCCATGTACAGAGAATGCCAAATAACAGGATTCCGAAACAGATTTTGACGTGGATATCACAAGGAAAAAGAAAAAGAGGAAGACCAAGAAGAAGCTGGAGAAAGGGAATTGAAAAAGAACTAGAGGAAAGAGAAATCCCTCCAGGCCTATGGTTAAATAGAGAATAATGGCGGTTAGGAGTTGGAAGCCGTCGGAGAACGCTGTAAACCGATAGTAGTAGTAAGTTTATTTTAAGAAATATACAAATATTAATGCAAAATAGAAAAAAATTACAAATTCATCATCATCA